AATCCAGGGTGCCGATCCATTACTTAACGATGCAACATTTCTTCTAAAGGCTTCTAATGATAGTTGTTACCAAGAGCAATCAATATGGACTGCAGCCGGTTTAGCACACAAATTTGAAGACTAACACGACTATACCCGATGATTTCATCCATGTCTCACAACAGTTAGGAAACACTGAAATTTCTAATTCTCGAAATAATAATTTTTGCCTTTGATTTCAGATCCGGCAGCAGACGAAAACTGAACACAGTTGGAAATGAGTTGTGCAAGATTAGACATAAGATAACAGCTTATTTATGATATTTGTATTCAGAGGTACTGATATTAAAAGTCAGTTATTACAGGATACCTTTTTAATGACATTGTATAACTCGTTCACGCCCAAAACCGCACGACCGAACTACCTTAGATTTTTACGTTCAGAAAAATATGCCGGCCTTCATTTTTGCAATGCGACGAACAACCTGCAGTTCAAAGGGAACAACTCATTAAACAATAATTTTCTTTGGGATTTTCCTAAACAGAATAAATTAAAAATCGCAACACACTGTCATTCCGTGATTCTTAGATTAAGTTTTGCGAAACATTGAGAGGGATAAACAAGTTGCAAACTTCTACCGCAGACTGCTGTGTTAAAAACTTGTGATCCACTTATTTTTCAAACAGGCCGCTAAAGACTATTTCACCCTGAGGCGGATGGTTTCAGCGCAAAAACAATATTAAACAATATTTACGTTGGCTCACATAACGGAACTTCGACCACCAGAAAACGATACTCGAAGAAACGTCCGATTAGTTGTTTCAAGAAACAGACTGGTTGCGGCTACAAAGTCTTTGTATAAGAGATTTGAACCGTATGCTACCTTATATGAATACGGTGAGACCCCGCCGGATTTTTCTAACCACGCGGTGGGAAAAAAGAAATTGGTTTAACATGATCGGGAGGTTAGAAAAATCTGGGGTAGTAGTAAATTTACAGCGATTTACTAAGGAAAGAAAGCCAGGTTTGAATTGAATTATCCGGAAGATTAAAGAAAAGAGGGTTCCAAAAATCAGGATTCTAGTGTTAAGTATGTCGGCCCCCGTTACAGATATGGCAGAACGGCCTTTAGTGTCGCGGTAAGTTGATGAGGGCGGAGGGTTGGTAATGCTTGTCGGAATAGAATAGAATTAGACCACTAGAGGAGACCATAATCCAACACAGTTTGATATTTAGGCAAAGCCCTTCGCTATACCTTTATTGGCTGTTCGCCCTCTTCACCCTAAATGAAACCAAAAGCTGCAATTAACACCCATAACGGTGGGACAACAACCTTCCCCGTCCATCTCATATGGGATCCCCTTGGCGGGGTCACGTATAGTCGCTGCAAAAAAAAATCATGATCTTGCAGTGTGACACTGGGCGAAGCGATACGGCGAGGTAGCCTATTTTCTATTCTTCACTGTCTTCATACATAATCGCAACTATCATCAGATCGCTGGACTTCTTTCACCGATCGTAGCTATCGGTATGAAGGTAGGTATTCGTATTTATGCAAAGTGCCGTTATAAGCAGAGTTTCAAATCGTAAATAGTTTTGTACCAGTAAACAACACCCACTGGTTACAAGGGTAAATATTGGTCCATGTCCGGTGAAAATGTAAATTGCTTTTAAGTTTCTTTAAATAATCCCAAGTTTCCTGTCATTAACGCCTTCACAATAACCGCGGCAATAAATCTTTGCTTTATTCCCACGCAGAAAAAAGTTACTTCCGGTAATGCTGCCGCACCCTCTTCGCTAAAGTGTACAAAAGTGGGCTACAAAGATAATTAATTTATCTTTGTAAGGGCCGTCATTACATGCACAACACGTATTCTGAAGAGGAAAAGTTTAAATCTGCTATGAACTATTAGCTTCGATACTGGGACAAATATAAAAATATTGCTCTGAAAAGGGTCGATCTGTGTTTTCATTTCGGAAAGTTTTAAGTACATTATTCTGTTGTTAACTGTCCATGGTGAGGCATAATGATTCTATGGAAAATTAACCCCTTTGACACTCTCCATGGCAATTACGGAAAACTTAACAGTTGACGGACGAAATCCGCCCATTGTTACGTGACCATTGAAAATAAAATTTTTGCAGATTTTTCTTTTTCATGAGTACCTTTCAGCATCCAAGAAAATACATTTGTACATTATTCTTTTGAGGGAGTCTGGCGTCGATATAAAGCAATGCGAAAAGGAGGTATCGGTGTAATTAATGCCCTCACGACACGTTCATTTGTCGACCATTAAAGTTAATCTCCATTAACACAAGACACTTCCCTTCAAACTTTAAAAAGGAGGAAATGTTGCCAAGCTCGTTTAGAGCCCAAAGAATGTTTTAAGAACAAATTTTGCGGGGAGAAAATTGGGATCTATTTGTTTAAACGGATTGCGGTAAAAGATAGAAGAAAAGCTCAAAAAAATAAACTTGAAATACCCTAAATTCATTTATCGATATTATAACCATCAACGGCCGGCAAACAATTGTGTTTCCCGATTAGTTACCGGAGAGAAGTGTGAAACGTATTAGATCTCATGTAATCCACCGAGGCGGAGGAAACAGAACCGACACAAATGTTTTTAAGTACCGTATTTCCTCGAATAATAGCCGTCCCTCTTTGGTGGAAATATTCAAAATAATCGCCTCCCTCGAATAATCGCCCCCACCCCTCTCGTCATCTTGTCTTCCTTTCATCCCCTCCCTGTCAAGTTAAAGTGGAATCTGATCCCGCAATTAAACTGATCAGTGACGATTCAAGCTCTGAAAATCAATCAAGGGACCAAATTTGAAACACTTAAAAAACCCATGTCCAGTTTATTTGATTTGATAATAAAACAAAATATTTACGGCACGACTTCCAGTGGACAATATTTGAAATAACAGCCTCCCTCGAGTAATTGCCTCCATTTGATGTGAAAAAAGAAATAATCGCCCCGGCTATTATTCGAGGAAGTACGTATCTCAAAAAGTTTAAATCCCACAGAATGCAGCGCGGGCTCATTTTCCGAACAGCGGCTTGTAATCGAGCCTAATTTAAATGTAGCACAGTACACTGTTTTTTATATTAACAACAAGATATTTTATAAGAAAATCGAGGTTCAAAATTTGCGCAGTTGTAACAATATGATAAAAATAAACCCAAGGCCGAGATTTTGAAAAGGATATAATTTTGTGTCTTGCCAAAAACCAAAAAAAAAAAAAACGTGTATTAACTTCAATTTTTACCCCAACACATTCTAAAACGGAAATGTCAAAAGCTATAATTGAAGAATACAAGAATATTTTCAGCCTAAAATCGGCAGAAAAATAAGAATATTCAGCCTGGGCCGGAAAAGCAACCTTCTTATAAAAAGAAAAGCGTGTATTTACCCCCGAATGGGGGATGGGGGGAAGTCAGTCGTGGCGTAGCGTAATATCCGGTTTTTTCTCAGGATACAGGCCACTGCACCTAGATTCATTAAGAAAATCAAGTTAATAAGCACTGCATCAACGAGTCTAGCGAGTCCTTGAAAATACTGTATATGCAAGACTTAAATTTTACTAGCTTGCACTGCGGACTTCCTCCATACACCCCACCACCCCTAAAAAAACAGAACAGAAATTACTGCAGTACTTTTGTTTTAATGGATCCTTAATTATTTCAATACAACTTATTTTGTGTCAAAGCCTACGAATCTTCTTGTTCATTTCAATGTTCAACCTGCAAATATAACAAAAGGTATGAATGATTAATTTGACACTACTGCATTTACTAAAAATTTGATAAAACCAAGTTTTAGATTTTTCCACGAATTCCTAGCTGGTGTACAGATGCCTTATTACTTATACAAAATCGGGGGGAGAGACTTAAATTTTTTTCCGATTTTTCTTAGGGAGGCGATGTCTGTACAGGCCATAAAACTCCTCCCCAGTAAACACTGCCAATGGAACCCACGGTATCTAGGGTCCTGCACATTTTAGAAAATAACTATGAAACAGGCAATGTCATTGTGTGGTCAGACAGTTCTGGCTCGTCACTAAGTGACAAACGGATATCATCATTGTCGATATGACGGGGAAAAAAGGTGTACATCACTCCACACAATAGGCTGAACGTCAAACACAAGCCATGTTAAGTAATAATCTACTTCTTGTATTATTATATGGCATAATGTATCCAAGTCAGTATAAAATTCAGGGGAAACTCCCAACCCACCCCTCACCTTAACCTAACTTCAACACAAACTTTCCAGTCAAGAGAAAATGTCACCATAAGGGAGGGGTGGTGGGGCAGTTTTCCAGGAATCCTATAATAAACCAACAAATGCATATTATTATGTAAAGAATTTTCTTTCTCCAAAGGGGCAATGGTCCTTTGTGTAGGAAGGCATGAAATATTGAAAAGCTTCCTGCAAAAGGGTGCAAGTAGTTTTTAGGGCCCTTTTTTCAGTTTTTGCAGGATTAAGTTAATTTTTGGCAGACTGAATTGCTTTGACATGACAAACACTGTACTGTAATTTTTTGACTGATTTCTTCATTTTCGAGAAATAACGTATTAGTATTGACTTCTGCCTCCTTCCAGTTAGTAAACTAGAAACCACCAAAAGGCAGGTATATGCCTGTACTATACACACAGGTGCAAAAAAATGAGCAAACAAACAAACAAAAAAACAACACAAACAAGCATCCAAAAAATCTGACTGTGTCAAGCAGTGCCATTGATCAACAAACTTACCAACTTACGTTTGATATGTTGCCCTGAAGCCTTAGGATCTGCGAAAAATAAGTTTGACCTGTATTTAAATACATCAACTACGCAAAGTACTTTAATTCATTCTTCTGCAACCAGTCAGACATCCAAGGAATAAAGCCATCAGCAAGATGTAATTATCTTTCTGGTGGAAACTGCGAATATGGCTGATAATCATCACTCCGGCTTAAAAAATTAACTCCAAACACAGCAAGTAAATTGCAATATTTCAGCGATAAACTTACTTTGGTGAGCTCTCTCCATTTCTACAACATTGCTTGTCAACTGGTCAAGAAGAAACCTAGAAAAGAAACAAAGGGGTTTTGAGGAAACACAGTTAACTTACTAACTGCTGTTGTTTTAAGAGTAGAACCAGTCAGACATCCAAGGAATTAAGCCATCAGCAAGATGCAATTATCTTTCTGGTGGAAACTGCGAATATGGCTGATATTCATCACACTGGTCTTTACACAGTCCTTTACATTTTAAAACAGACTTACTTACATTGACCTCAACTGGAGTTCTGCATACCTTCACCGGTCTATGAATATGCGTAAAATAAACCTGGCAAAAACAAGACACACCTTTGTAAGGATAAGAAAGAGAGTCGCGATTAAACTATTGGGAGTTGAAAACAACAGCCAGTCAGACATCCAAGGAATTAAGCCATCAGCAAGATACAATCATCTTTCTGTTGGAAACTGCGAATTTGGCTAATAATCATCACACTGGTTAGAAAACTAATAATTTTCCTTTTTTTTCCTATCCAAAAAATGCTTCCACTTGTTTCTTTCAAATTGCACGACACTGCCCCTTGTCTTTGTGCAATGCGATCAGAGGAAGAGACCAGACATTAATCAAAACATTTCAAAAAGTCGATAACTTTATCCCAATGGAAACATTTCAGGGCTCAGCGTTGTAACACAGCTAATATACTAAAATATATACACTTTATAAATTCAATGGAGCCAAAACCAAGGGTGGAATTGCTCATCCTACTGATGAACCGTTACTGCTTTTAGATAATTTTACACACAACAACAATAGACCATTTTACAGTTGTGGACTTAGTACCCTAGCCTTCGAGTAAATGTGAGGCTGACAGTGACCTTGTTTTGATGCAAACCTCCTTTGCTTTGTTATGGAAATTGTCCTTGAAAAATACTAGCTAGCATAAGAATAACTTGATTTACATAATAAAGCAGGAAGGTTTGTATCAAAACAAGGTCAACGTCAGCCTCGCTTCCATCCATAACTGTAAAATGGCCTATTATTTGTGGTCTGTTCCCTTAAAATACAATTGTGATAAGAGAAGTTAAACTGGCTGTGTGGTAGTTTAGCCCAGTGACCCCTGAAAAACAGACATAAAACCTAAGAGTGAAGGGGTTAAGCAGCATAGATGGAAGACGATTGGACAAAGACAGGACCAAAACAGCAACAGCAATGTAGCAATGACTTGGGCACCAGAAGGAAAAAGAAGAGAATGACCAAAAACCACTTGAAGGCAAACAGTTAAAAAGGAAAGGGCAGAAGCAGGATGGCAATCATGGGAGGATGTGAAGACCACTGTGACTGACTGAGATAGAAGATAGAGGATAGGTGGGGTGTGAGGTGTTAAGTGTATATGACACAATTTTTTCCTGGATGGTTTATTATCCTTAAAAATATGTGTAAAATATGTATCCAAAATTGACCTTGTCAAAATCTTTTAATACCATTTTTTTTCTCTTCAAAACAACCAAATTTGCCTTCACAACTGTCTGCCCTATCACTGGCCGAATTGACAAGTATGATGTAGAATGATTTGCAAGAATGTAAAATGATTTACAAAATGGCAGCAGAATCAGAAGTGAAGGCTGAGCAAATCAACTGGCATTATATGATGTCATCAGCCTTTGATCCTTTACACCTTCTCAGTCTGGGAGACAGTTCTGAAGGGGAAAAGCAGTTTCTGAATGGCCCAAATTCAAGAAAGTTTTTGGGAGACATGTTTTAAAAATTCTGAATTGTTAATGAAACTTATCAGTAGACTAAGAAAAGAAAATTAAAAAAATTTGTATCATATACACTCAAAGGTGATAAAATCTTTCACCTTGGACACACATTTGATTCCCACCTATCGGTTTTACAGTTCCAGTTTTTCCTTATATTTTACAGCCTGGTCAAAACTACAGTGCAAAATCACCATGTTATATCTACATCAAGAATCTTACCAAACTACACTGTACGCCTTGGCTACAGTCAGCATCTTCCACAGTGAACCTGCAGAGCTTTGAAATACACAAGAACAAATTTAAAATTTATCCAGGAAGATCACAGTGGTCATCAAATTAGCAGTACAAAACAAACTGATGAAGTCAGAGAGGTTTGGCTTGGTCACATAGTGACAGAGGGTTTATCGTCATTGTCGATAAGATGGGGAAAAAAGATTTCACTCATCACACCACATCAGTTGATCATTGTCTAGCTTATTAACAAAGCTGCCGGTACCACGATAGTTAAAAAAAATTGACTAACCTTATGCTTCTTCGGAGAATCTCCAGAGAAATGATGACACTGGAGTTTAAACCAGTTACTGTAAGAGATAATAATTATATCAGTGATCAGTGGACAAAGCAATTCAGTTTTAAGCCACAATTTAAGCTTGGCCTTACTGGAGAGAATCAGCCTGACGTGTCATCTCAGCATCATAGCTATGACAGGGATAACTGATAAATTTCTCATCATTATCTCTCCACATTTACAAATTAAGATCAAGTGCTACAGTGAGCCTTCACTAATAGCAACCTCTCTACAACAGCCAACTTTATTTGTTCAGACAGACAAATAATCCACACATTGACTCTTGCTGAAACCTTTTTTCAACAGTCACCTCTTTATTACCTTGTCCTATTAGTGCTGAAATCAGGACGGTTGATAGCCAATCGGATTTGAGAATTCTTTTATAGTTTTAATTAATGTATACATCGTATATTTATAGATACACTTAAGTGGCCTGCTCCTTGCTCTTTTCAATCACCTCCAAACTAATAATAATAATAATAATTTATTACATTTAATATAGCGCTTTAACTATTAAAATATTCTAAAGCACTTTACAATATGTACAAGAAAATAAATAAATATATATATATATATATATACAGTAAATGGACAGAAATAATAATAGTAATAAGAATATAAAATTACAAATTAAAAGCTTTCTTAAAAAGACAAGTCTTCAACTGTACTTCAAAAGAGTCGATGTTCATACAGTTTCTAAGGCCAGATGGCAGAAACAATAATAGTAATAAGAATATAAAATTACAAATTAAAAGCTTTCTTAAAAAGACTCATTGCAAGAAGGCACAATCTACTGATAAATGGAACTAACCATTGTAATTACATCTCCCTGGAAACTATCTTGAAGTACAACCTGAAACGAAGACAACAAAAGGCAACATAAGAAATTGCTTCCTTACAACAGCAATATATGAAGGCATTTGTATTGGCAAATCACATCAGAATATCAAGGATGCGTTCAATGTGCAACTGCTGCCACACTCATACAAGAGGTGTCAGATATTTTCATCACTGGTGACTAGCCAAGCTCACCCTGACCTTAATATCAGCGAGGCTCTTTGCATTAATATATTTTTTTATTCCTTAAATTCCGTCTTTATGCATGGAATGGTTTAGATTATTTTTAGTGGCCTGACAGTGAAAACTTCCTAAAGAAGTGAAAGAATTGCAGAACCATGGAATTTCAAACTTAACTACTCTGAACAAACTCTCTTGTACTCACCCCTGTTCTGTTAAACCTCAGTGGAAAACTTCTTGGTGCAACCACCTAAAATGATACCACGATAAATTACTAAGAGCACTGCTTCCCCGAAACAGAACATTTGCATTGATGTGTAGCTGGCAAGTCACTTCAGAATACTAAAAATGCGTTCAATGTGCAACTCATGCCACACTCATACAAGAGGTGTCAGAAGTTTTTCATCACTGGTGACTTTACCTACTCTCATTACTAAGATTTCTTCAGAAGGAGCTTAGACCTACAGTACTAGCATTAATTGGGCATAAGTAGGCATGTTTTCAGAGCGTTTAACATTGGAAGTGAGGCGGCAGATAAATGTCAATAAAGTGGAGAAGTCTGTACAATTCAGCAAGCTTTTAAGTAAAAGTTTCACATACGCTTCCATTTTTTTTTCAACTTTTAATAAAATAATAGCAGTTAATATCCGTCAAGTGAATATCCATCAACAGTGCTGGAAAGAGTGTCGTAAAATAAGGTAACTTATCAAGTTAAAAAATGATTTGTCCAAATACAGATGTTTTTATGGTGTGGGGGGAAGGGTACAAACTTGTCCCCACCATACAAACCTGTTAAATTCCATGACTTTGCAAACTTTATCTTCACAAATCCCTTTCAAAATTAGAAACTTAACAGATTTTAAGGCATTCTTTCTAGACATGTTGACAGAGTTTCACCTACTAGTCCCAGTTAAAATTTGAAAAAACCACAAAGCATCTACTAGGGAGGTTTGTTTGACAGAGCCACATTTTTACAAGTGTAATAAATTTTTGAAAGCACTTGTTTTCAAGATTACATGACCGTGAGAAACAACAGGCTCTGGGAGCAAGTCTACGGCCTATGACATGCTTCTGTATTTCCAAATTTTGGAACCTGACCCAGACTGCCATAATCAAGTTTCTTACTACTAGGTTAGGTTGCATCCTCCTCAGGACCAACACAATAAGGGTAAAAGAATTACAAAAAATTTGGAACTTCATAACTCAACTGCTGGGAAGAAAATAATATTATGTTCTTATTTACCATCATCCCCTGAAAGCTTGGTGGAAACCATCTTGGAGAGATAAAACCTCCTGAAACAGTGAAATAATAACTTAGAAAATTGCCTCCACAAAATAGAAAGATTTGTCTTGACTTGTAGCTGGCAAGTCATGTCAGAAATTGAGGAATGTGTTCAAAGTGCAACTTGTTACACTCACTGTCAGAAAAGTTTTTGTCACTCTTCATCACTTATGACTTGACCTTTGGTTTGCATTGTTGACTTAGTTAATTTCATACTTCATTACAGTGAGTTATTAAAGAAACTAAACTATAGGTTCAAAAAAAAAATGCATTCAACTGACTTGCTAGTAAGGGTTGAAAACAAAGTGGACATGTGAAGGGTATTTTAAAACAGGGGGTAACAGCAGTGCTGATCTAAAATCTAACCATTTGTCAATAACATAGTGCTTCATAATTTTTCGTTACTTTTTTCTTTGTTGTTTTATTTAAACAATTATGTAACAAGGATGAAGAAAAGAATTTTGAAGGTCTACATCCTAGTCAAGACCAAGGCTGAGCTCTAAGAAAACTCAATGAAACCCCTGTGCTCTAAACCTGTGAAATCCAGGGTGCCCTGGACATGACCTCCATGAAAAAACTAAGATTTTCTAGTCACCAAAGAGCAAGAGTAAGGTGCCTGAAGGGCCACAAGGCACTGCTTGAGCACAGAAGACCCAAATATATATCACTAACAACAATACCAATATCAGCCATACCGGCATTTCAGCATTAGTCATTTCATAAATCTGTTATCATCATTTTGTTGTTGGCAAAAATACCACATTACTAGTCAGATTTCATCCAAAAAGCGAAGATTTATGAGAATATCAACTTACCATTCTGGAAGAGATGGAACCAAAAAACCAAACCTGAAAAAGAACAAAGACATAACAAAAGACAACTATATTAAGGTTTTTCCAAGTATTCTTTCAATAAAGTTTCTTTGTATGTGGTAGTTCAGTAATTTGAAACTCTCTTCAAGAACCTGTCATTCAGAGACTCTAGTCTATAGGTTTCATCATTCTACCACTCACTAGTTGTATGGTCTGTAAATAGTTTTATTTATTCTGATCATACAGAATATATTACAGTGGAACCTCGATAAAACGAAGGGCCAAGGGACTGGCAAAAATGTGTTTACTTTAACGAGGTTTCGTTGAGGTTCTTTTCCATACATTTTACTATTACTGGGGTAGCAAAAATCGTTTGTTATACTGAGGACTCAGCACACAGAGGTTCATAATATCAAGGTTCCATTGTAGTTTAATTTTGGAAAAGGATTTGCTGGTAACTCTTACAACATGGCTCTCTTACCAAGGTTGAGTGCACTGGCAGCCACAATTTGAGGATAATTCTGTACAAGAAAAAATGTTGACCACAAAATTAACCACGAGGATGGTTCAGCAGTTAATGTGCTTTATTGCTTATTCAAAATATTTCACTGTTTCTGAGTGGTTAAAAGGCCCTGGCTAATTCTTCATTACCAACGGGAGTTGACCAAATTTGGAAGGTGCAAGCAAATATACCATTGATTCAATGGTATATTGACTTGGAAGTGAGGTTACATGGGCAATGGACCATCAATCAACCTCGTTTCCACGCACGCTCAGCGGCCTAGCTGTTGATTTACAAGTGAACTAAAAAAAATGGTGTTCATGGCTATGCCAAGGTGAAATACGTAGAAGTTCCAACTAAAACTGAATGGAAGGATAGCAAGAACAAGCAAAACGTATTGCTCGATGGATCTTATCTACTTGTTGAGGAGTAACCATTGCCCTGACAAAAGGTTTGAGCTATCAAAGGGTTCCACAGCTAAAATACAAAAAAATAATGGTCTTTGAGCTCCACATTTCTGCTGGGTATATTCTTGCAAAAAATGTTACCCCTTTTAGGTCCAGGAATTTTGAGTGTTCCTAGTTCCATAGTCTGATGGCAAAATCATACAGCCAACCAGCACTTAAAATAATTAAATTTTCTTGTCTCACATTTTCTGGAATAGATGAAGCTTAAAGTTTGGACCAAGTCACTTGACTGTGCAGGGGAAATGTAGCAGGTATCTTTCTTTTTACAAATTAATATCAACATGCTTAGAGGGCCAGCCTCAGACAAATGCCTCGATTTGGCATCACAATTTCAAAGAAGCTACACAAAATGTGGTGCTTCAAAGATGAATCAGGCTCGTCATCTTGTGTCATCACCAGCTGGCCAGTACAGACTGGGAAATAAAAATTACTTGTAGGGAATTTCAAGAAAGTAGCCTGTGTGGCAGGCTAAAAAAAGTGGGGAGGGGGAGAGGGAGAAAAATGTGAAAGGGTATCCCCAATCTCCCTCCCTTTTCTCCCAAACCCCTTCCCCTTTTGATCCCTACTACACAGGCTACAGGGAAGGCTGCAAAACATCTTTTGGACTTCATACTTTCAGCATTAAAATGAAACTGTATGGAACTTCTGCTGGTTTAGAGCAAGGCGGACACAGTTAGTACTGCATTTGAATTACCAACTATGACTGCGGTACGTAAGTTCAACTTTTTTTCAAAAATTAATTGTTCTGTAAAGGGGATGCCATCACGCAAGACGTAAATAAATAAAAATCAAATTAAATTCATACTAAGAATGCATGCAGTAGTAAGCTTACGCCTATAGAAAATTTGTTAATACCTTTGCACGACTTATGTCCTTTCTGGAAAAAAAGAAAAGCTTAGGGTATCGAAAGAAACCAGGAAACTACACAGATCAACTTTACTTCGTGTAGTAAAATTATCCCAGTTCCTTAAAATTCATTTTAAACTTTGCTTGAAGACAAGAAGCAGTTGCAAACGCTTTGAAACACCTCGCTCATCAAAGCACGTGGTAGAACATGGACGAATCCCTCAAGATCTTCTTTTGAAAAAAGCGGCACTTTGACTCAAACGAAAAGACTGCATTCTGCTTGCTTTCAGGATCTAAAGTAAAGTTCCCTCGAGGTGACCGTGGGAATACCAGAAAACCAATAATAAGGAGAAAAATACCACTTACCTGCACAACGTAACTGCCCCGACCTCCGCCATCTTTCGTACCTCGTGTGCAAAGCAATGATTTTGCTCTTTATATAGCAAGTAGCATGTGATCAAATCAGAACGCAATGATTGGTTGGTGCAGGTGTGAAAGGACGCCGGCGCAGTGTGTTAACCAACCACATGACTTACTCCTCCCTAGCTAGTTTTTTTCTTTGTTCTCTCAGTCACTGAGGGAGGCATAGAAAGTGCTATCCGTATCACAGGTATCAAGCGGGTCGGGTCGTATTGTCCAAGTAAAAAATACACCGTTTCATACTAAAGAAATAAAAGGACATCATCGTCAAGTATTAAAAACATCTCCCAACTTTTTTCAGCAATCGGGTCCTGCTTTCAGATAACGTAAAAATACACTACACTCAGAGATTCGTAGCCTGCGTGCAGACGATAACTAAACTCTGATTAGTTAACGACCAGAGTTTAATTTCGTCTGCGCGCAGGCTAAGAGATTCGCTACAATAGACCTTGTCAAGATTTTCGACGCCATCTTGACGAGTAGGCAAACGTGTGAAAAATTACAGTGTTTGTATGAGAATTTAAGAGGCCCTGCGCCTAAGAAACGACCGATGATTTCCGGCTAAAAAATAAAATCGGCCGATTTTTATCTCCCAAGTAGAGGTTACCGAATACTATTCAAAAATGAATTTCTTTTGTTTCAGTTTCGCTTTAAACCAAAAATATCGAGCCGCAAACTTTTTCCGTCTGATAGCAGCAAAATCAGGCCTAAAATAAGCCCTCGCAAAAAACGGTTCAGAAATCACTATCGCAACGCAAAATAGCGAGAAAACCACACAGTGATGAAGAAAAAGGCCTTTTAATGCAATATCATTCGATAAACATCGAAAAACTGCCGAAGGGAATAAAAAATAACTTTTCAAATATTGCATATTAAATTAGATGGAGCGTTGGAGCTGATTTTAAAATAATTATTTCTCAAAAGTCCAACGCTGTTGAAAGCAATCATAGTGATGAATCAGACATTGGAGGGATATACATTACGATTCTGGAAAAACATTTTTCGGCCAAAGTATATTGACGTTGCACAAAGCGTTCAAAGTTGCAGTGTTTACCGTTATCTTGCTACTTCGGCGAAACACTTCTGTGTTGGCAATACGGCCGTGGATAGCGTGGTAAACGCCACTTTAATCCCTGCTAGGCGCTCAGAGACCATCCTAAGTAGAAGGACGTAGAATTAAAAGAGAAAGGAAGATGAAAAATAGGCAGAAAAAGAAAAGAACTCGAAATTACCATCTGCTGACGGAGGACTGCTGACGAAACTTGAATCTGGAAAATGTCGTCGCGTGACAGCGGCCAATGACGTCTTTGTCTAAACTGCGGCGGAATCTAAACGAATGCACAACTTTTTCCCGGCCAGAAAGCACTTAGTGAAACAATGTTACAGTAATGCTATTTTTTCACAAGCGATGGTGACTTAAAAAGAAAAAATTCCCGAACCGCCGCACCGTTTTGGCCTCAGTGTGATCTGATCGTTGTGGGGTCACGAGTTGACGCTTCTGGCCAGCGGTCTATTGAAAGAAATCTGATCCCATCTCTTTTTTTTTTTCGGGCGAGAACTCATGTCAATGTCCACTGTCTTCCTTCAAGGAAAAAAAGAGAGAGATATTGGAGTACTGTTGCTCCCGAGAACGAGGAACATCTTGGTCCCGAAAACTGAGTTCATTACGCCCAAGAATGACCGTTTTTTTTTTCTCAAAGGACTAGTATCTGGCGCTATAAAATGTAGCTAACAGGTTCAATTCTTGGCACAATGATTAGCCTCGCGTTTAGTATTTTCTTGGACATGAAAATATCGGGCGTGACGCTATTCGGTGGAATGGCGGACTGACGGAATGACGGAACGGAAAGATGGAATACATGGAATATTCTAAAATACGGAATATACGGAATACTCTAAAACGCAGAATAAGAGAAAAATCGTTTAAAAAGGGTATACATGTATACAGTCGACTCCAATAACTCGAACCCTCGCTACTGACTCGAACCTCGTGCTAACTCGAAGTAATACTAATTTTTGTTTCTCTTCAGATTATTTCTATATAATTTTACCCTCTTTAACTCGAACCATGTTTTAAGCGCGTGACAAGTAAAAGAATTGACTTACCGTAATGATTCGATTTAGCGCCCTGGAGCTTATTTGCTTTTGGTGCCTCTAGGGAGGACGCTTATTCGGGACAGGGCGCTTATTTCTTTTTTGAGAAACAACCAAATGTTAAAAAAAGAACTTTGATATTTATTTAAAAACGAACAACATTTGAAACTGTAGCAGTAACAAATACTGACGGTGAATGCTCAGTTAACGCGAGGGACTTACCTTGAAACTTCTTGGGCACTTTGTCGATGGAACTTTCCTTCCTTATATTCACCTGTCTTAAAAAAGCTTACAGTCAAAACAAAGTGCAAGTCGATTAAGGTAATGGATCAAGGAGACTGGAAAACGGACTTGTTGTCCCCGGATCCTTCCTCGCCAGAACGACCAGCCGAGCAATCTCCACAAAATTTGAAGAAGAGATCATTCCTTAGAAGACTTTGAAGACTTTGGAAAATCTAAAGAAAGCTACCGGACAAATTTAGGCACAGGTGTGGCCCCCATTAATTGGTAGTACAATCCTGTCAAGCTTAAGTTTACAATTCTCTTTTTTAGAACAGCCGTTTTATGAAAGTTATCCGACATAAGATTCCCGTAAAACCGGACCCTTCACCCGTCAAGATGGCTTTCAAAACCGTCATAAGGTCTATAGTGTGGCTTACGGCAATACGAGAATTGAATTTTTAATATTGCCTCTGCTTTTTCGTCAGTTCAGCTCAAATCAAATACAGAATATTCTTTAAATTCCGTGTTTTAGCGTATTACGTATATGCCGTATTTTACAACTGATTGCATGTATTCTGCCATTCCGCTGAATAGGGTCACCCAGATATTGGGGAGGACATCATAAAAAAATGTAGGAGACCGGGAAGACTTTTAAATCGATGAAAGTGCCTTACTCATTTTGCAACTTCATTTTGCAATATGCTTCATAATTTGTTTCCACAATAACATTTATGATATTTAGATGATAACCAATATGCACAACGCACAACTTGTCACATTACCGATTGGACAGCATACTATGCACTCAAACTCTTGCGCAGGAAAGTTACAGAATAAAATTATTTTTTGCTGCACTCAGTCACATTCCTTTACACTAAAACCTTGGCTAAAAGGTCTCTTTTTAGATCTGTAGATTTGTAAGGTATTTCGAAATACCCGCACATGTCTTTCAACACTAACATTTAAAGATGAAAGTTTGTTGCTGTGATAATTATGACAAAGATTGTAAATATCAAGTATAATTGGATGTTTTAAGCCCAAATATTCTATCACCAGTTCAACAGCATGGAGGGGGAAGTGGGGGCTTACGGTATTGAGCTTTTTTTCAAGCGGTATTTCGGTAATTTGGATTTTAAAGTGGGGTATTGCGGTATCATTTAGCCTTGCGGTATGCAGTATTTCTTCCTTTTGGTTAACGGTATCCGATAAAAGAAGATCCCGGTATTGCGGTACTGTTCATTGCGCTATCCTGTTTAATGCTAGCCTGCGTAGCAGGCGCTTGGATGACCCCTCGCGAGTGTCCCTCGCGCGCGCCCGTTCTCTCTCGCGCCCACTACTTCCAAGCGCCTGCTACGCAGGCTAGTTTAATGCACGTCAGTATTTTTAAGACTTTAGATTAATGGTAAATGATTACCATTACACAATTTCTGACAGATAATCTATGATGAAATTGGTAGGGTATCTTTTTCGTTCGTTGTACCGATCAATTCGAGGTCGTCTCACGTTTCCTCGCAAAATTAAATTAAATTAATTAAATACCGCAATACCGTGAGAGAAATTGGTAAATAACGAAATACCGTGTCAAAAATCGACGAAATACCGATACCGCATTTATTTTCGGTTTTTGGTACCTACCAATGTCCCTCCTAGCATGGCGTTGCTCTCCAACTTCGTCACCTTTCTTCAGGTCCGCTGACCCCTACACGCGCTGACCCGTAACGTCCGTTGGAATGTATGTAACGAAATACAAGCAGCCCACATTCAAAGTACTTAGAGACTAGCTGAGGCTGAATTCATCATCATTAATAGGA